AACTAAGGGAGTTCACACCACTAGACCTCCTTTGAAAGAAATGGTGAAAGGAATTCTTCAAACTGAAATAAGAATACATTATTTACTGACAATAAAAGAAAAAGTTTACAATACCCTGGAAAAGGTGAAAAATAGTCAGAAAACTTTAACCCTATTAGAATGGTATGTCAACCACTTAATTACAGCATAAAGGCTTAAGGAAAGCTATCACAGTTTCTCAATGAATTCACAGCACCAAAAGAGATAAACTGTGATAAAGACATGTAAGTGGAAGAGGAAAAGGGTAGAATCTTTAGACAAATAAAGATAAGGTGATCAGCATATTTTATTTCTGAGATTTTTTTATGTAAGTCATATGTTAAACACAAAGCCAAACTCTAGAGTCATGAAAGACAGAAAAGGATAGACTGAGTAAACGACTGTGGAAACCCACCACATTAGAAAGATAGAAACAGAGGAAAAAAACGATGACACAAAATAACCAGAAGGCAGAAGAAAGAGGGCAGTGGTAAATCATCTGTCAGTAATCACTCTAATATAAATGAACTGAATTCACCAATCAAAAGACACACAATGACTAGATGGATTAAAAAAAAACAAAACCATACCCAACATTGCTCATGAAATACAAATCAGAACCACAATGAGGTATCATCTCACACCGGTCAGAATGGCCATCATCAAAAAGTCTACAAACAATAAATGCTGGAGACGGTGAGGAGAAAAGGGAATCCTCTTACACTGTTGGTGGGAATGCAAACTGATAAAACCACTATGGAGAACCGTATGGACACTCTTAAAAAACTAGGAATAAAACTACAACAGAATCCAGCAATCCCACTACTGGGCATATACCCCGAGGAAACCAGAACTGAAGAAGATACCCATCGTTAATTGCAGCACTATGTACAACAGCTAGGACATGGAAGCAACCTGGACAACCATCAGCAGATGAATGGATAAGGAAGTTGTGGTATATATACCCAATGGAATACACTGAGTATAAAAAAGAAATGCATCTGAGTCAGTTCTAATGAGGTGGATGAACCTAGAACTTATTACACAGAGTAAAGTCAGAAAAAGAAAGATAAATACCATATATTAATGCATACATATGGAATCTAGAAAGATGGTACCGAAAATCCTATGTGCAGGGCAGCAAAGGAGACACAGACATAAAGAACAGAAATCTGGACTCACTGGGAGAAGGAGAGGGTGGGATGATTTGAGAAAAAAGAAACACATACACAGGTGAAATAGGTAACTAGTGCAAGTTTGATGGATGCAGCAGGGCACCCAAAGTCAGTGCTCTGTGACAACGTGGAGAGATAGGGTGGGGACAGGGAGGGTTCATGTATACCCACGGCCAATTCATACTGACATATGGCAAAACCATCGCAGTACTGTAAAGTAATTATCTTCCAATTAAAATAAATTAAAAAAAAAAAACCCAGCAACTATATGCTACCTACAAGAAGCTCATTTCAACTCTATAAAGACACACATGGGCTCAAAATGTAGGGCTGAAGTAGAAATCAAAAGAAAAGGGGCCGAGCCATTGTTGTATCAGATGAGACTTCAAGCCAAAAACTGATAACAAGAGACAAACAAGGTTGTTATATAATGACAAAAGGGTCAATACATCTTTAAAATACAACAATAATAAGTATATATATATATATATATACACCCAACATTGTAGTACTTTAATATATTAAGCAAATACTAAGGGAGAAATAGATGACAATGCAGTAAGAGTAACAAACGTCAATATGCCACTGTCAGCAACAGATAGATCATCCAGACAGAAAATCAACAATGAAATGTTAGAATTAAATCGTACTCTAGAGTAAATGGACTTAAGCATATAAAGAACATTCCACACAACAGCAGAAGAATACACATTCTTCAAGCACACACAGGACATTTTCTACTATAGATCATAAGGCCCAAACTCAGAAAATTAAAGATGGAAATCCCGCCTATTATCTTTTCTGACCACAATGGTATTGAAAGTAGAAATCAACAAGAGGAAAGCTGGAAAATCTACAAATATGTGGAAAGTAAATAAGACTTCTGAACAACCAATTGGTCAAAGAAGAAATCAAAAGAGAAATAAATCTCAAATAATAAATGAAAATACAACATATTGAAAACCTATGGAATGTAGCAAAAGCAGTTCTGAGATGTTTACAGCAACAAATATATATATTAAGAACTTAAAATATTTCAAACCACCTAACTTTATACCTCAAGAAATTAGAAAAAGAACAAGGTTAGCAGAAGGAAATAAAGATGAGAGTAGAAATAAATGGAAAATAAAAAATGAAAAAACAAAACCAAAAGCTGGTTCTTTGAAAATTAAAATTGACAAACCTTTAGCTAGACTAAGAAAAGAGAAAACTCAAAATTAGAAATAAAAAAGGAGACATTACAACTGAGACTAAAGAAACACATAGGAACAGATGAGACAACCATGAACAAATTATATGCCAAGAAATGAGACAACTTAGAGGAAATGGATACGTTCTTAGAAACACACAAACAACCAAGGCTGAATAAGAAACAGAAAATCTGAACAGACCAATAGCAAGCAGAGGTTGAATCAGTAATCAAAGCCTCCCAACACAGAAAACCCCAGGACCACATGGCTTAACTAAAAAATTCTACCATTCAAAGAAGAATTAACATCAATCCTTTTCAAACTCTTCCAAAAAACTGTGGAGGAGGGAATATTTCCAAACTCATTCTATGAAAACAGCATTCACCTGAAAACAAGGCCAGATAACACTACCACAAGAAAACTGTAGACCAATATCCCTAATGAATACAGATGAAAAATTCTCACCAAATATTAGCAAACCAAATTTGAGAACACAAAGAAGGATTATATACCATGACCAAGTGGGACTCATCCCTGGGATGTAAAGATGAGTCAACATAGGCAAAATCAATGTAACACATGACACATCAATTAAACGAAAGAAAATCATGTGATGATCTCATTAGATGCAGAAAAGGGACTGGACAAAATACAACTTCAAGATAAAAACATTTAGAGTAATGATAATACCACCATCAGGGTAACGCAGATAAACCTAGATGTTTGGTCATTCCGTTTAAGGGGAAGAAAAATCAGATTAAGAGTTAACTATTCACTGAAGAAAATTAGAGATACCAAGGGAACATTTCATGCATTGGGCTCGATAAAGGACAGAAATGGTAGGGACCTAACAGAAGCAAAAGATATTAAGAAGAGGTGGCAAGAATACACAGAAGAACTGTACAAAAAAGATCTTCATGACCTAGATAATCACGATGGTATGATCACTCACCTAGAGCCAGACATCCTGGAATGTGAAGTCAAGTGGACCTTAGAAAGCATCACTACGAACAAAGCTAGTTGAGGTGATGGAATTCCAGTTGAGCTATTTCAAATCCTAAATGATGATGCTGTGAAAGTGCTGCACTCAATATGTCAGCAAATTTGGAAAACTCAGCAGTGGCCACAGGACTGGAAAAGGTCACTTTTCATTCCAATCCCAAAGAAAGGCAATGCCAAAGAATGTTCAAACTACCGCACAATTGCCCTCATCTCATATGCTAGCAAAATAATGCTCAAAATTCTCCAAGCCAGGCTTCAACAGTATGTGAACCGTGAACTTCCAGATGTTCAAGCTGGTTTTAGACAAGGCAGAAGAACAAGAGATCAAATTGCTAACATATGCTGCATCACCGAAAAAGCAAGAGAATTCCAGAAAAACATCTATTTCTGCTTTATTGACGATGCCAAAGGCTTTGACTGTGTGGATCACAACAAACTGTGGAAAATTCTGAAAGAGATGGGAATACCAGACCACTTGACCTGCCTCCTGAGCAATCTGTATGCAGATCAGAAAGCAACAGTTAGAACTGGACATGGCACAACAGACTGCTTCCAAATAGGAAAAGGAGTACATCAAGGCTGTATATTTTCACCCTGCTTATTTAAGTTACATGCAGAGTACATCTTAAGAAATGCTGGGCTGGATGAAGCACAAGCTGGAATCAAGATTGCTGGGCAAAATATCAATAACATCAGATATGCAGATACCACCACCCTTATGGCAGAAAACAAAGAACTAAAGAGCCTCTTGAAAGTGAAAGAGGAGAGTGAAAAAGTTGGCTTAAAGCTTAACATTCAGAAAATAAGATCATGGCATCTGGTCCCATCATTTCATGGCAAATAGATGTGGAAACAGTGGCTGACTTTATTTTGGGGGCTCCAAAATCACTGCAGATGGTTGACGGCAGCCATGAAATTATAAGACGCTTACTCCTTGGAAGGAAAGTTATGACCAACCTAGACAGCATATTAAAAAGCAGAGACATTACTTTGCCAACAAAGGTCTATCTAGTCAAGGCTATGGTTTTTCCAGTAGTCATGTATGGATGTGAGAGTTGGTCTATAAAGAAAGCTGAGTGCCGAAGAATTGATGCTTTTGAACTGTGATGTTGGTGAAGACTCTTGAGAGTCCCTTGGACTGCAAGGAGATCCAACCAGTCCATCCTAAAGGAAATCGTCCTAAAGGAATATTCATTGGAAGGACTGATGTTGAAGCTGAAACTCCAATACTGTGGCCACCTGATGTCAAGAGCCGACTCATTGGAAAAGACCCTGATGCGAGAAAAGATTGAAGGTGGGAGGAGAAGGGGATGACAGAGGATGAGATGGTTGGATGGCATCATCAACTCGATGGACATGAGTTTGACTAAACCCTGGGAGTTGGTGATGGACAGGGAGGCCTTGCGTGCTACAGTCCATGGGGTCGCAAAGAGTCAGACCCAACTGAGAGACTGAACTGAACTTATCCACCATTGTGATTTTTATGGTTGTAGAAGAGGGAAGGAAAAAGGTATGGTACAGTTTGCATAGAAGATCAGATTCTAGCGATAATTTTCTATGACACATCCTAGTCCTAGTATACTATATTGTTTAAAACAAATAATCAGAAACTCACCTCTGGTTTGGGGACAAAAGCCTGACCTGGAATTGTCAAGATGTGCTGAACATTGCAGAGGTACTGGGCCATAATGGAGAGACGACTTCGCTGTTTGCTTCCAGTAGTAGCTGTAAGTCTCTGCAGAAGGACAAAGAGGAACTTTGGCAAATAACTCATTCATCATCTACGAACACTAGGTGGATTCTTTGAGGTAAATTTTAAAAGCATAGGCTATTTAATATGATACATAGCCAACATGGGCAACATTTTCCTTCGACACTGAGGTACATCCATGAAGTGTGAGTTATACACACAATGCACTTAAAAAAAAAAAATTAGAAAATTTCCCTACCACTGGCTATTGGGATTTTCAAAGTATAAGATACTGTATGAAACAAGTAATCCATAAATATAGATAGGTGAAAATAGCAAGAATAATGAACTCAAGATGCTTTAGTTTTATGAACTACCCCAATGTCTCAATGAACATTTCCAATGGTATATCCTTCTTTATTTAAATGTAATAAAACCATGAATATTTAGAACTCTTGAACTGGCTGATTTTGAAAACTTTTTTTTTTTTAACAAAACACTTACTTTCTTTTAAACACCCAAACATTTTTAAAATTAGGCATCTGTGAATTAACTCATAAATACATACAATTTAACCAACATCCCCAAAGGATTTTTGAAAAGAACTTTAAATTCCATATAAATGTTATATGAAAAAGTAAAGGGCCAATACCACCCCAGGGCACTCCTAAACAACGTCAACAATGGGGGGCAGGGGACTGCTCTGTGGAGGTGACATGGGGGCATTCACCCTGCCAGATATCAAAATTAAGGCAGTATCATATTGTTAGAGGCACAAATATACCCATGGAACAAAAACCTCAGAGACTCAAGCACAAGTGGACTTTTGAAATGGGACAGATGTGATGTAGCAACTGCTAGTGGGAGAAGGATGGATCATTTGGTGACTTCGGTACAAGCAGGAATCTACAAAGAGGACTGTGTCGTCCATATCTCATATCATAACCAAAAATAAATTCCAAGTGAATTAACAGTAAGTGAAAACTAAAATTTTTAAATTTATGAGTAAGTATCTATGACTCCCATGGCAGGGAAGACTTTCTTAATAATGCAAAAGCAGTAGTCACAAAAGACTGATATATATTGTTCTATTTAAGTTAAAAACTTTTGTATAATGAAAACTACTATAAAGATAGGTCACAGAGTGAGAGAAGGTATTTGAAACTCTTATCTGACAAAGGATTAGTGCTCAGAATATAGAAGCAACTCCTATAGATCAATAGTCAAAAGATAGACGAATAGAAAATAAGACGAGAAACACTGTAGCATCCCAAATGAACTATAATCATAAACTATGCTCAAGTAAACTACAGATCAAGGATATGCATATTAAAACCATCTGAGATACAATTTCGTATTTCATGAATAAACAAAATTTACACAACAGAAAAAGGACTTAACAGAACCTAGTATTGGCAAGTATATGGAGCAATAGGAATTCTCATATGCTGCTAGTGAGTGGGGACTGGTACAAGCATTTTGGACTATAATCTGGCAATATATAGTAAAGCTAAAGTTGAGTAAACTGCTGTAATCTGTCAAGTTTACCTTTATGAATATATTCTAGACCTGCTTCACAAGGAGATATTTATAAGGATATTCATTGCAATACTGTATGTAGTATCCAAAAAACAAAGATCCATCAATACGTGAATGAATAAACTGTGGTAATTTTGACAATGGATACTAAATAACAGTTACAATGAATAACAAGAGTCACCAACATAAATCCCCAAATAGAGCAAATAACTGACAGAAGATAGGTACAGTATGACTGCACTCATAGGAAAACTTCAAAAGATTATCTCTTATCGCTGATTCTCTATGGGCATGTGTATATCTATCTATATCTGCAGAGCAAGCAAAACATGTTCATGGGAATACTGAGTATCAATTTTTAGACAGTTCAATTCACAGGAGGGAAAAAGGGGAGATAGAAGAGGGCTCCAAACATATTTGTAATATCTTATTTCTTAAAAAAGATATGAAAAATGTGGTATTATGTTGGACAAAGCTGAGTGATGGATGAAATAATTATACACTTATTTTTCTAAAATGTATCCTGTTCCTAGAGCTCCCTGGACCTCTTCAGAGTCAACATTTAAACCTCTTCTAAAGCATAGAGAGTCAACATTACAGATAGCAATGATTACTGGAGTCCTGGGTCAGCTGTGTCTTACTACTCAACAGTCAGAGATGGAGTGATTCTTTAAGTTCTATTTACTGGGCTGGGTGTTCCCTTTCCTGCTTCACTGTGTTAACCTCTAATAGTCCCTTTTACTTTGCTGCTTCTAACCAACTGTGGGCATGAAAATCATGTAATTTGACTTGTAAAAGCTTTGCCTTTAGTAAGATTTAAACATAGGCTTTAATATGAGATGCTGAGAAAATTTCCTACAGGCAAAGTTAACTATTGATTTTATAGAACATTTTGTTATTCAGAAGCCATATACCTCATCTCAGCCCTTTTTACTTTAATTTACCTGGCTCCTGTCTATATTTGGACAGTTAAAATTATTGGGAAGTCAAGTTCAAGACAAGTGATGAGTTGCTACAGCATATACCACAAAATCAATTCTTTCTTAGTAAAACCTAGAATTGTATATATTCTCAAGCAAATAACAGAAACAACAGAAGTACAGATTTAAGTTAAAGAATAATCTCATGGATCAAATGGTCAAAAATATTTCTAGTTCTTCATAAAGGAAAATAAGGAACTTAATTTTACCACTGCTGTTAAGATTCAAATTTTCTAAAATTCATTGTACAAACTGGCACAATTCAAAGCAGCTGCACAAAACTAAAATCCAGCATGAACATAATCACAAAATTAGAAAATAAACCAAAAGAAATGCCCGGATACTTAAAAAATTTTTCAGCCTGGATTTTCTTCCAGTATTTTACTTTACATTTGAGAAGTATGTTCCCACTGATAAAAGGAAGAGAATTTAAAAATCACTTTAACCAAAAGCAAACCAGAGAGGCATGGAGGGAAAGCTAATTTGCTATAAAGACACATTAAAGTGTCTTTCATTTAAGAGTGCTATGTATCCACTTCTGCCAGGAGAAAGGGGTATCCTGACCCATGAATCTTACCCTCCTATCTCTGGGCTTCCCTGGTGGCCAGGGCAAGAGATGAGGGCTCCATCCCTGGGTTGAGAAGATCCGCTGGAGGAGGGCATGACAAGTCACTCTGGTATTCTTGCCTGGGAAACTCCACGGACAGAGGAGCCTGGTGCGCTATAGTCCATGGACACAGACACGGACTCAGTGACTAAACAACAACCCCATCTTTGCAGCAAATACACATAGGCTTTGGAGATGAAAACACATCAATCTCATAACGTGGAAGAAAGCAGCACAAATACCTGTCCCTCATTTATTAATGAAGAATTCAATCCACAGACCAGAAAGCTCTGCAAAAGACTTCATTAAAAGCTAGCCTAAGAGTTCAACGGTTGATCCAACCACTCAAACATTTGGTGTTTCTTTGATATATTACAGGTAAAGCTATGAAAATTCAAACTTCATTACAAGACATATTTGAAGGGCAAAAGTTCAGGGAACCAAACCAGGTAATTTTTCAGTAAAAGGAAACCTCTAACCCTCGAGCTTTTAAAAAATTCTGATTGAGTGTAAGAAAAACAAGAATGAATTCACAAGAACAGGTTGTTTTTTTTTTTTCTATTCATGTAAAATAATTTTACGTAGAAAAATTAGGCTTATGCTTGAGAAACTGCAGAGCCAAATATCAGGGACAATGAGAACTAGATAATTTATGGAAAGGGCATTCCCTTATCCAGCCATGGTCCTCTGGAGATGGTAGATGAAGAGGTTGATGCTGGACCCAGACAGAAAAGACCATAGATCCAGTCACACAAAGAAGTGGAACATGATGATTTCAGCAGAAAGCATATGGCCTGTGTTCAGGTTCAACTCTCCCTGCAGCTAGCTCCACGACCTCTGGAAGATGTCAAGCCACGCTGAGTCTCAGTCTCATCACCCGTAACACGCAGTGAGATGAGATCTGTTAAGGTCTCACTCACTGCTGCACAGTCTGATTCTATTTTACGAGCTGCAGCTTTCAAGTGTCTACAAGCCCCTGAATGTGTATGAGCTGAGTTCTTACATCCACACCCTGTCGTCTTAGAGAGAAAGGAACAAGACAAACATGCTCGTTTCTGCTCTGTAACTCACAAAGCCAAGCCAAGCAAATATTCTAAGTGCTTTCTGTGGCTAAAATTCAAAATGCAAATATGACAGTGTCAAGAACAGAGAGAGGGAAGATAGGAGAATGCTGCTATATAGTCTTCCACTGAAACTCTCACTTGCAAAAATGTGAAAATCAGTCAGAGGACCAGTGTTATCTATACTTTCAAAGCATTCCATTAATTATAGACTCAATATAAACTCTTCACAATATTCAAACTAAAATTTAACTAAATCAACTTTTTGTTAAAGAAAAATAATTGCATATGGTAAAGTGGAAGCAACACTGTTATTAATAACAAGTGACACTGAGTCATTGAAAATGTTTCTCCACCTCTTCAGCCTGTTCCTTTGCTCTTTCCCCCCAAAGAATGGGAGTATTTTTGCATTTCTATTGTGCTACTGAAGAGCAGAAATACCATAATAATCATATCAGCTGAGGAAAAAAATCCAAGGACAAATCCAAAAGTTGAGAAAAGCAACAAAGAGGACTATTAGCATGGCCTCAATTCAAACCAACAGAAGAGCACGAATATTCACAAGGGGATGACTAGGACCGAGGAAAAAGAGCATGTCATCTTAAGAGTTTGTTACAAACACAAAAGGCTTCTACACTTTTGTGATGGATTTTATGGTCCAATACTCTAAAACGAGAATTTTCAACTTCGGTGGCTCTGACACTTTGGGCTTGTTAATGCTGAGTAGCCCTTCGCTGTGGGGCCTGTCCTGTGCCCTGGAGGACGTTCACCAGCTGGCCTGAACTCTATCCATGAGATCCTGGAAGCACCCCCAGCTGTGACGACCAGAAGTGTCCCTCGAGTGGGGGATGGGGCAAAACTCTGGGAGGGAACATGGGGAGAGAGGGATGGATGTAAGAAAAAATTTCTTATAATACATGCATACATTATTTGAGAGGAAGACACTGGAAGACTTGAACTAAGGTAAATCATCCAGTGTTTACTCTCAAAGCAATTCTGATATTAAGTTGTCTTGCTTTATTTTTTACAGAAACAACCATGAAGCTGACTAAAATACACAGAACAACAGGTTTATAAAGCGGACACGGCGCAGTAAGGGGCCGTGATCAGTGCCAGAAGGGAAAGGAGGTGAGCCTCGGGCCCACACCGCAGCACAGGGAGAGCCAAGACACAGGGGCCAGAGAAGACCTGGGCTTCGGGAGACAGAGGCTGATGTTCTGCGAGGCCGAGGCAGCTACAGTCTGTGCAGCAGGCTACCGGAGAAGTGCAACACGAGCTGGAGAGGTCTTAAGAAGGAGGTAGAGACGAGGGAGTGGAGACTCACTTTGGCAGAGCAAGGATCTGCAAGGGGTATATGAGGGTAACTCCTCAAGGCTAGGAAGGCTGGACAAAGTACCACTGGAAAGCTGTCAGACAAAATGGAGCTCATACAGGGCTGGAAATAGTCTGCATTCCCAACAGCTAAAGTAGAGAGCCCATGAAATACACAAGACACACGGTGGCTTCCTCAGAAACACCATGGCTTAGTAGTAGGACTTAGCCCCTGGTCAAAGGCTGCTTTGGACCCATCATAACAAAGCTTGAAAGGCAAACCTCAAACCAATCTGCAAGGACTTTATCTATGAGCAAAACAAAACCCACCACTCAAACCTATACAAGAAAATCTCACCCTCAACAACATTGGGAAAAAAATAAAAGGCCTCCCAATACCCAGTATTTTAACAAAAATGACCAGGCTTGCAAAGCAGAAAAATGGGACCCAGAGCAAAGAGGGTGGGAAATATCAACTGGTAAAATAGTACAGAAATGACAGAGGTAATGAAATTAGTAGGCAAAGATCTTGAAATAGCTATTACAAATATTATATATATGCATAAGGATGCCAAGGACAGCATAAACATGAGAGAAAGGGAAGATATAATAAGACTCAAACGAAACTTTTAGAGATAAAAGTACAGAATCTGAAATGGAAAATCAATTATCAACAGATTCGACACTGCAGAAGAGTGGTAAATTTGAAGTTGCAAGCCTTATGACCCAGCATTGCCACCTTGAGGTTTGTACCCTAGAGAAATCTTGCCTATGTGTACTAGCTGAGATCAACATAAGAATGTTCGTGACTGTTTGTTTGTAATAATGAAACACTGAAACTCATAAGGGGTCCTCAAACAGGAAAACAGACAGATAAGTCTGACAGATCAACAGTCAGTTGATAGTAAATAGCTGTATAAATAAGCTACAGCTATGGACATCATGAGCAGATCAGGATAAAAAGAATATACACTGTATGAACCCATTTGTATAAAGTTGAAAAATGGACAAAACTGAAATATTATTATACAGGTAAGAAAAGATTTAATGGGATTAAAGACTTTAGTTGGATTAAAGATTTACTGAGCATGACCATGCCCACCAGAGCAAGACCCAGTTTTCCAAACCACAGCTAGTCCCTCCCGTTGGGAAGCTTCCACAAGTCTCTTACCCTCATCCATCAGAGGGCAGACAGAATGAAAACCACAATCACAGAAAACTTACCAAAATGATCACATGGACCACAGCTTTGTGCAACTTAATGGAACTATGAGCCACTCTGTGTAGGGCCACCCAGATGGACGGGTCACGGTGGAGAGTTCTGACAAAACGTGGTCCACTGGAGAAGGAAATGGCAAACCACTTTGGCATTCTTGCCTTGAGCACCCCATGAAGAGTATGAAAGGCAAAAATGTATGCAGTGAAAGAAGAACCCCCTAGGTCAGTAGGTGTCCAATATGCTACTGGAGAAGAGCAAAAAATAATTCCAGAAGGAATGAAGAGGCTGAGCCAAAGGGGAAATGACACCCAGCTGTGGATGTGGCTGGTGATGAATGTCCGATGCTGTGAGAGTACTGCATAGGAACCTGGAATGTTAGGTCCATGAATCAAGGTAAACTGGATGTCGTCAAACAAGAGATGGCAAGAGGGAACATCAACATTTTAGCAATCAGTGAACTAAAATGGACGGGAATGGGTGAATTTAATTCAGATGACCATTATATCTATCACTGTGAGCAAGAACCCCTTAGAAGAAATGGAGTAGCCCTCACAGTCAACAAAAGAATCTGAAATGCAGTACTTGAATGCAGTCTCAAATATGACAGAATGATCTTTCATTTCCTTCATCAGAAGAATCAGAAATGAGCCTTCATTTCCAAGGCAAACCATTCAATATAGTTATCAAGTCTATGCTCCAACTACTAATGCCAAAGAAGCTGAAGGGTTCTATGAAGATCTACAAGATCTTCTAGAACTAACACCAAAAAAAGATGTCATTTTTATCATAGGGGACTGGAACACAAAAGTAGGAAGTCAAGAGATACCTGCAATAACAGGCAAGTTTGACCTTGGAGTACAAAATGAAGCAGGGCAAAGGCTAACAATTTTGCCAAGAGAACATACTGGTCATAGCAAATACCCTCTTTGAACAACACAAGCGATGACTCTATACGTGTACATCACTAGATGGTCAATACCATAGTGAAGAGGATGATGGAGGAAGAGATGGTTGTATGGCATCACCGATTTGATGGCCATGAGTCTGAGCAAACACCAGGACATTGTGAAGGACAGGAAAGCCTGGTGTGCTCCAGTCCGTGGGGCTGTGAAGAGTCAGATGCAACTGAATAGCAATTTGACTTGGGTGGTGGGATTCGGCTGTTCTTTTGATTAAGCCATACACACACAAAGCTCTGAAAATACATGATACACTCTTATATTCATTTGTCATAAAAAAGAACTGCTGATAGCCTGCAGATTCCCTCCTTTAATCTCTTTGCTTCAAAAACTGCTTTCACTGCTCTGAGGGTTTACTTTTTAGAGACAAACTTGGAACACGCCAGTCATGGGAATGCCTAGCAGGCTTATGTGAACCTAAGTCTGTATATTGAATAATGAGACACCCAGCCAACCCCCTTACCTTTCTCCACTCCAAACTGATAATATTCTTTTTATTTTGTTCTGGTAATTTGATCGTGTGATAAAACCACCAGAAAAAGTTAAAACTTACCTCTGCCACTTCCTTTTGAAAAGTCAACATCATCCGGGTTCTACCATATGTGAATGGTCCATTTCTTTGAGAAACATTTTCAAGCCACTTGATAATCAGTGGGGTTGATACACTAAAAGGCAGATTTCCAATAATATGTACATTTGGAGGATCTGGTTGGCATAAGAAAAAACTTGGTTTGATTATTTCATCAATGTGTTATGAATACAATTTTAGTTAAGAGTAAAATCAAACTGGGTATTAATAGCATCAAACAAAAGCATACAAAAAGATAATGGCTGAGTATTTTTCAGTCCATTTATTCTTCAGAAGCAATGTTTGGTCACAATCAGCTTTGAATTAAAGGAAAAAAACCCCACCTAATTACTATTCAGTTAAAGTCCCCAGGTTTTGGCTTAGGAAAACAAGAAAAAGAATTGGTTTGAGGGAAAAGATCATTTAGCCTTGGACCTGAGGTCAAAGTTCCTACGGGACACCAGAGGATCTGTCAGATACCCAGGAAAGGGATACAGGCTGGACATGAAGATTAAGTGTGTACAACATATATGTGGTAAGTGAAGTCATGGCAGGAGAAACAAGATTTAAGATGTGGGTGGAAAAATAACCACCAGCAAAGTTAGAGAAAGCTCAAAACAAGGTGAAAGGAAGACTAGGTGGGCCTGGTATCAGGGAAAACAGGAGCAGGGAAATCTTCTAGATGAGAGGAACAGTTTAACACTGGGGAGCTTAGAGAAGGTTGGCGGCAGGCAGTTAGGTGGGTCATTCCTGTTGTCTGTGACTGGCTGGGCAGGGCAGAAAACTGAAGGGGGTCCCTGAGAAGAGCCGGTTGGAAGGGGGAGACGGGCAGAGCCAGTCACACTGAAGCAGCCTGGTGTGGAGCAGCGAGACTCAAGGGCAGCTGTGGAGGCACCCCCAAGTCACTCCTCCAGCTGCTCTGGGGGCGGTTTATGGCAAGAAACACTTCCATGTGTTCCAAGGAGCTGGCACATAGCAGGCACCCAATAAACTGTCCATGAACGAAGAGTGCCATGGGAGGTCACTGGACGTAAAAGACAGAGGAAATAAAGTCAAAAGAAAGGTGGGGGTATGGCTTGGCTCACCAAAACACTTTTTTCACCATTTTGAAAACACTTTCTAGTTCATTCCATCTTTATATGATATCATAAAAATGGCAAGTTTATATGAACAGACCCCAAAATATCTGAAAAATATTAGTATCAGATAAATTTGGATGAAAAGAAAACAATTTGATTTTTATTTTGGAAGAAAGTGTAAAAGCAGAAAAAATTACAATGCACCTTACATACTTGTTTATCTAATTTTAAGTATATAATAAATATTTATAAAGTATGACAAATAATACAAATATTTGTAATCTAAACAATTACAAAATAAAATAAGAAAACCAACCCAAAGACACTTACCATCCTCCCACTGTCTTTTGAGACTTTCTGGAAAAGCCCTTTCTATCTTAAACGTCAAGACATCTCCATGGATGATTCTCAGTTTTCCAGGTGCTGCATCAGAAAGCATCTAGTTTACAAAAAGGTCAATAAAATGAGCTCATACATTTTGGAGAATAGTGGAATTAATTTTTTTTCCCTACCAAATCTGTGCATCATTAAATCAATATGAAAAGTCAGAGACTAAGAATGATCATTTATGAACTAATAGCATGCTGCGTCCACTGCAACAGACAACTGTGGTGTTTGACTTTCAACACGTAAGAATGACTGGGAATGGTGGCAGATAATAGTATAACAACAGCCTATAACATCACAAATATTGACATAATTTTGACCCTCAGGATGCTTGTATTTAGGTATAGATTTAGCAAAAACTTAACTCCTGCATTTTTAAAGTGGAGACTAAGTAGTCTCCCAAGGCAACAGAAATAAAAACAAAAATAAACAAATGGGATCTAATCAAACTTACAACCTTTTGCACAGCAAGGGAAATCATAAACAAAACAAAAATACAACCTACAGAATGGGAGAAAATATTTGCAAACAATGCAACCGACAGGGCTTAATTTCCAAAATATATAAACAGCTCATACAACTCAACAATAACAAAAAACCCAATCAAAAATGGGCAGAAGCACTAAATAGACATTTCTACAAAGACAAACAGATGGCCAATAGGCACAAGAAAAGATGATCAATATTGCCAATTATTAGAGAAACACAAAACTACTTCACACTGGTCAGAATAGCCATCATTAAAAAGTCTGTAAATAACAAATGCTGGAGAGGGTGTGGAGAAAAGGGAACCCCTTCTGCACAGTTGGTGGGAACATAAGTTGGTGCAGCCACTGTGGAAAACAGTATGGAGGTACCTTAGAAAATTAAAAACAGAATTACCAAATGATCCAGCAAACCCACTCCTGGACACATACCCAGACAAAACTGTAATTCAAAATGATACAGGTCCCCTTATGTTTTTAGTGGCACTATTCATAATACCAAGATGTGAAACAACCTGATATCCATCGACAAATGAATGGATAAAGATGTGATACAGATGTACAATGGAATATCGTTGTTGTTCAGTCACTAAGTCCAACCCTTTGTGATCCCACTGACTGCAATCTGCAGGCTCCTCTGTCCATTGGGTTCTCCAGGCAAGAATACCAGAGTAGGCTGCCATTTCCTTCTCTACAATGGAATATTACTCAGCTATTAAAAAAAAAAGGAAACAATGCCATTTGCAGTAACATGGATGCAACAAGAGATTATCAATACTAAGTGAACTAAGTCAGAAACAGAAAGGCAAATATCATATCATATATACATGGAATCTAAAAAACAACACATATGAATTTAACTATGAAACAGAAACAGAATCATGGACCAGTCAGAGAACAGACTGGTGGCTGTCAGGGAGGAGGAGGGTCAGGAAGGATCAAGTAGGAGGTTGAGGACAGCAGATATAAGCTTGTATATACAGGATGAATAAACAAGATGCTACTATTTAGCACTGGAGAAGAAAATGGCAACCCACTCCAGTATTCTTGCCTGGGAAATCCCATGGACAGAGAAGTCTACCAGGCTGGGGTCACCGAAGAGTCAGATGCGACTTGGTGACTAAACAACTATAAAACACAGAGACCTAGATTCAATATTCTATGAAAAACCATAATTGAACAGCAGAAATCAAAACAGTCTAAGTCAACTATATGTCAATCAAAATACTGATTAACAAATAGAGACTAAAGACATTATAATGAAATACTGAGAATTAGGAAAAATCACATGAAAGATGAACTTAACTAAATCTTTATATCTTAAGTACACACAAAGGAGTCTACACATTATCAAGATCTTTAACTAAATCTGCAAGTGGAGTCAACCAAGCAGAAAAGTCCCGTGTCACCGCCAAGCTATCCGCGGCTCCGAGAAACTCCCTCGACCGGAGTGCTCCTGGAGTAATTCTGATCCACAGGCACTCTCAACCTCATGAATCATCCTGCATGTTTTAACAAAAGCTACTTGCTGAACAATTTCTACCTTCCACTCTTTGTTGTCCTTCCTTTCTTCAGTTTTTGAGTAAAAAAGAGAAGCACTTCTTTCACCTTTTTTTCCCTCCTTCTCATCCACCTCAGCATCACACCTTAAGAAATGCTCTCATAGTACTGAAGTGTTGGCACCTAACTAAAAGGAGCCTTACAGGTAAGCCATCTATAAACGTGCATTGTGTTAAATGCCCTAGACTCAAAACAAAACTTGATTCTTGAAGTCCTTAGTAAAAAAACAAACAACCAAATGCAATCCATGAGCTTATAAAGTTAACATGCAAGAGAGAGTAAAATCAATGAAAACAAGCACATCTAAAGAACAGTGCAGGGAAGAGATAGTTAGGGAGTTGTGGTATCAATATGTATACACTGCAATATTTAAAGTGGATAGCTACAAGGTCCCCCTACTGTATAGCACAGGGAACTCTGCTCAATGTTACTGGCAGTCTGGATGTGAGGGGAGTTGGGGAAAATGGATACATGTATATATGTATGGCTGAGTCCCTTTGCTATCCATCTGAAACTATTACAACATTGTTACTGGCTATTCTACAATATGAAAGTCAAAAAAATAAAGTATGGTTACAAAAGGAAAAGGTGACCCTCTTCCCACATTAAATCTCAGTGCAGGGAACTCAGAGAACCTTGGCTCCAACTCAAGGAACTTTTGCTCTTAGCATCCCCTGGATCTTCTTCTCTAGCTCAATTAAAGCTGAATTCTCTATCCTAACTCTCCTCTGACTAATTCAGGCAACTGAGGAAGGATGAAAGCACCATCTCAAAAGTCATGGAGGAGACATGGACCAAGGCACCTAGCTGTAGATCATTCACACCTCTGGGTCAACAATGTGCCTTGCACACGCTTCTTTATAGCACTGTGTATTGTAATCATATATATACAGGTTTCTTTCCCCTATAACAGAGGCCCCTTAAGGGCACCTGCCTCTTATCTACTTTAACATCCCCTGTGGCTGCAATAGTACACAGTAGGTGCTTTATATATGTATTTGACGAATGAATAAGTGAATGATCAAATGGCATTCAGTTTTCTATGAAGCTGGAAAACTCCTCTCCTAGCCTACGATATATGGGGGCCCATAGAATTTGAAAGGTCCAAAAACTTGCAAAGATTTACTTCATTGATAAGTCAATTATACATGTAATGCTGGAGAAACACATAGCTGAAATGCATATGCTGATTAGAGGCTAAACATTTTAAGTTATGGGAATCATCTAGTTTGTTCTGTTTAGCCACAGTAGTTTAGCAAAAATAATTGTGCACCTCTGATATTAATGTACTTATGGACTACTTTAAGTTACCATAATTTGCTAAGACTTAATCTGATGAGTTCCGGACAAACTTAGAAAATATAATAACTTAGACATACTACAAAAAAAGGGAGATCTCTCTTTCTATAGGACAGGCTTTTACCACATAAAAATTGTTTCAAAAAAAAAAAAAATTGTTTCAATGATAGCATTTACCATCAATGAAGAACATTAAATTCTCTTCTATAATTATCCTTCACATAATTAAAACAAAACAAATAAGCGTACCAAAAACAAAGAGGCAGAATTAAAAGCTTATGTTTCACAATGTTAATATATAGAAAGTAATGAAGTAATTAGTAATTAAGGCTAAAACAAAACAATGTAAATTTGGCTCTGCGGCATTAATTTACATGCTCTGATAACTTCAACCATGTTTGAAATATTTTCCACCTTGATAAACACAGCTACATACCAGGAAACTGGTAAAAATACATTTACCTTCCTTTCCCAAGTTTAAAGTTGCTATTTTTCTGGCTTATGTGTCAGTCAATGACACACCAAGTCCTCCTGTTCTTTAAGAAGTCTACATTTTCCAGGACGACTCTTTAGCTCGAGCTTTCCCTTTCCCACTCCCCACTGCAGAAGGAATGAATGTTACTGTTCACAACTTTACGTGAAGGCCCTGAGCAATTATGGAGGCCAAAAAAAAAAATGTTGTACAAACAGAAATGACAGTATGATTATGGACAACAGCCATTTCAACAGCTAACGATAATCAGCAATGACACAGAAAGACCTTGTAACCAGCCACTAACAGAAGAAAATGTTTGCATTATCATGATATTTGGGAAATGACGAAAGGGTGGAACAGGTCACTATTACAGCCCTTTAGGAGCAACACTGGCGCCTGGCACACCTCAGGACACTGGAGTGTTGCCTCATGTGGACCTCAAAGGCACCACTGCCACACCTCAGGACGCTGCAGTGTTGCCTCACGTGGACCTCAAAGGCACCACTGCCACACCTCAGGACGCTGCAGTGCTGCCTCACGTGGACCTCAAAGGCACCACTGCCACACCTCAGGACGCTGCAGTGCTGCCTCACGTGGACCTCATAGGCACCACTGCCACACCTCAGGACGCTGCAGTGCTGCCTCACGTGGACCTCATAGGCACCACTGCCACACCTCAGGACGCTGCAGTGCTGCCTCACGTGGACCTCATAGGCACCACTGCCACACCTCAGGACGCTGCAGTGTTGCCTCACGTGGACCTCAAAGGCACCACTGCCACACCTCAGGACGCTGCAGTGTTGCCTCATGTGGACCTCAAAGGCACCGCTGACCATCTATGCAGGCACTTAACAACAGCCAAACGAGTCATTTTACAGGCACTCAAATTGTTCTACCATTTTCAATCCTATATTTTTCCAAAACGAGACGTAAGCAAGCTTTGAGTAAAAAGCATTCATTAAACAAAGCTGTAAAAGAAGAAAACCAAACTGCGATAAAGGAACCATACAAAGTATGTTGTTTGTGAGAGCTGTACATAGTACCAGTACTAGAGATGTTAGATCCTGCAGCCAATGTACTGAAGTGTATCATTTTTACTCAGTGTTGGAAGTAATCACAGCTGGTTTCCAAGAGAGAACATGTGCTTTTCTGGTATTAAGCTCTATAAAGGGTACAAGGAAGAAACAGAGAATGCCTTTGATAAAACTAAGAAAACAAATGCAGAAATGTTCT